AAAAAGAAACCGAAAGGCAGCAGTTGTCCTCACCAGCGGGAGGGGACAGTTTATCCAGAAGCGTTAATCTGCTGCCATGTGAGGAGCCCCCAGCAGGTTCACTTTCCATGCTGGTGAGAAAGTAATTTCTAATTATGGTTTATGGTAGTTTTCTCACCTGAAGTTATATGGAAGTTTAAGGAAATGTGTGTATTTAAAAAAAGCAGCCATCCAGTTGTGTATAGCTGTGTACAGCTGTGGCCAGGCAATTTTGGGGTTTGATGTAAATGACCGAATTATTACTTTTAACTAAAGTGAAAACAACCGAGAGAAGGGAAGTAAAATAATGCACTTAGTTAATATCCAACTTAGCTAATATATTGTTAATGTGTAAGATGGGATTCAGTTAGTTACTCTACTTTAGTATATTGATTTAATGTCCTGTAATGAATGATTAACCACAACTGAGAACAAGCACTTCAAACAAAAATGACCTTCACATTCTGATGAAAACCTCAGTTCTGTCACTTACTATCTATGTGTGACTTTGGACAAGTTATTTAACCTTAGTTACCTGAGTCTCAGTTTTGTTGTCTTTTAAAAAGTTATAATAACAAACTTGGGATTCACATGCACACAACGTGGCCCGTGTTAACTAGTCGTTAGACATGATCTTGATGTTCACCTTGCCTCTGGGATCAGCATAATTATGCTTTTTCCTGACCAAAGAACAAACCCAGGAACAAAATATGTAGGTCCGAATAGTCAAGTGCTCCAAAGGAAGGGGGATTTCTATCCAAATATGTACTACTCGTCCCTTCCATTTATGCCCCAATGCCCCACCCCCTGTCTAACTCTACGTTGGAAATTTATTACCTTGGGCCAAGCACTGCTTTCTTCCTAAGAGGTCACTAATGGTGCAAACGCTCTAGGAAAGGATAATTAAAGCCACTGTCCCTTTGTGAGGATGAGTTTGCGTGTTCTTTCTCCTAGATGGAATATCTGACATACTAATAGTTGGTACCTGGGAAAGGGTAAAAGAGCTGTGAAAGAAGGGCAAAAGCACATAGTAAGCTTTGTCAGATAATCATGCAGTGGGTGCTAAAAACACTTCTAGAAGGAAAATAAAGCAGATGATATTAGTACTGAGTAGTCAGGTACAAGAGTGCAGTTTGGAGGGTGAGGCATACTTTCCACACATGACCTCTTGTGCCTTTTGAAATTGGTACTTCAGGCATGTATAATCTATCCCAAATTTTTAGTTTAAAAAAAAAATCCTCACACCTTGTCACTTATTTTACTTCAACATTAAGATATTTGTTTATAGGACTTTGGCATTTAGAAATTGACTTTTTTTTCCCCTCTAAAAAGTAAATTGAATTCAATCAAAATATGATTGGCTTATCAAGGCTAATGTATTTGTTTACAAAATATTAAATGTATTAAAATATTCATATTCTTGGAGATACACAGTTATTAGACAATTAACCTTTGCTGACTTTCTATATAGACAGTTTCTTCCATAAAACTTAAGCTTCCGGCAGACAGGGCCTGTGTTTTATTAATCTTTGGAGGCCCCATTGTGGCAAACACAGAGCTTTTACAGAAGGGTTACTTTCTTAAGTTACATTCTCAGTCCATTCTTCCAAGGAAGAAAAGTCATTAAATTAACATGATGTGATTAAGAAAGAAATTCTCAGCAATTTTATTAAAACAAACAAAACAACAATAAAAGGGAGAGACAGGGAAAGAGAAAGAAAGAGAAAAATCTATACTTGTAATGAAACTTTTGGGATTCTGTTAAGTGGGGATGCTTGCAAAACACCAGCTATGTCACAAAACTAGGTTGGTCTGAAATCAGACACATTTGTTCAAAAATATATTTGTTGCATGGCTGTTGCATGCAGGGCCTTGGGGATAAAATGTTGAACAAGAGAGACATGACCCTTACTCTCACAATTTTCATAGTAGTGGGAGATACAGAAAGGTAAACAGGCAATTACCATGTAGTATGATAAATACTATAAAAGGGAGTGCAGAGGGTTGGTTATAGGTGCTCATAAAAGGAGAACAAATCTTACGTTTGGGAAAGTGATGTCTAATATTACACTGATTGGGACTAGAGCTTTTTTCCTTTTTTTAAGAGTCCTGCAAACCTGAGTTCAAATCCTGGTTTCACTGGTTTCAATCTATAACCTTGGCCAATTTATTTAATCTCTTGAAGCCTCAATTTCATCAACTTTAATGCTACATTGAGCTTACAGGGCTGATGTGAGCATGCATTGAAGTTCATGTCATAAATCTGGCAGAATGTCTGGCAAATGGCAAACACCCCATAAAGATTTGCTAATAATATTACTGGGAATAGTAAACCAAAAACTGAAACATGAGTACACCTAGGTAAAGTGGAGGAGAGGATGGAGGAAGCACATTCCAGGCAAAGGAGAAAAGCATACCCAGAAAAGCAACACCATGGTGAGCTTGAGGCACCCGGAGTAGGTCAGAGGTGTAGCTGAAGCTGGAAAGGCAAACAGAACTAAGCCCAATGGCTTTGTCAAGTTCATTAAAAGCCCCTCAAGACTTTTAATCATAGGTGGGACAGGATCAGATTTGAGTTTTAGAAAAATCAGCTTGGCCAGTGTGAGAATGGAATGGAGAGTGAGGAGACAGTAGACAAGGGGATCACTGATAATAATTTTAAAATAATGTTTGGCTGTGGAATTTTACAGTTAGGGAAGCAGGTGTCACATTAAAAATATACCTAAATAACACTACAATAAGGGCCTTAAAGTAACTGTCATCAGCTTATTGGTATTAGCTAATTAGCATTTCATTCATTCATTTATTCAGTCACTTGGCAAACATATGTTAACTCCAACTAGGACAGAGAACTGGTGCTCTGAAAGAGTCCGGAGAGCTAGTTACTCTGCCTGGCCTGCTTTCCAGAAGCAGCCATTCCCAAACGACTTGGCTGGAAGGTGTCTTACTCTGGTGATCCTGCGCAATGGCAAACATGTTTTTCGGAGAGAACACACACCAGCAGGAAAATCAAGCTGAGAGGCAGTGCTACACAGATTAGGATGGAACCTAAGATGTAAAAACAACTCCCCTTCACCCCGGGGAAGGGAAAAATGTCATGTTAATTATGTCAGTGTACATTAGACTTCTTACTGCTCAAGAAAGAGTAAATCCTCCATGATCTATTGTTAAGTGAACGATAACCAATGTTCATAAAATGTCCTGTCCTATAAATCTCAGGTGGATGAATAAATTCATTACAACAGCTCTATGATGTAGGTATATGTCCACTTTACAGGCGAGACAACCAAGGCAGGAGACACTCCCCAACATCACAGAATTAGACACAGTCTGATGTTCTTATCCACCACATAGTGTGACCTCTGGCATTGGACCGCCAGGCGGATGTTAAGAGTAAACTCAATCGAAAATGTATCCTTCAAAAACCTGACAGGGAAGAAAGATTACTGCCCACTTTAGTATCAGGAAAGCCAAAATTTGGAAGGTTTTATTATAGGAATAAAATGAAATGGATGACTAAATATGTGACTGTCTCTTAACAGGAAATTGAACTACTATGCTCATTAAATGAGTACCATTTTGAAAGAGTTTTCGAAATCGGTTTTACTCTTTTAAGTATAAACCACAGCTCTGCTAAATGGCCAAGGACACATTAGAAAGTATTCAAATGGAGTTCCATGCTTATCATTTTAAAATAGAGTGGGTCATCTCACAGGCTCAAAGATGGAGAGCCATGGCGAAGGAGATAAAAGAGCTAAGAGAATCAGACCTGTTACTCTTGGTTTTCTGCCAAGGGAGGGTGAAAGAGAAAAGCTGATTATCTCATTGAGAAATAAATGGCATATGCTTATTCCCTCAGAACATGTAAGGTTCTATCAACCAAGCAGTGAAGCTTGTGTAGAATATGCTCTTTGAGACATGTGCAATATGAATTGAATAAAGACAAAATTAAAAAAAAAAACAAACAACAAAAACCATAACCCTCCAGATAGGAAAGAAACCACCAGATTTCTGCAATGCCACTTCATGCCATTAGCAACACAGAGTCTTGAGCCTGGGCTCTCAGAGGGCAGTGAGAGAAATCCCAGACCATATGGCATTTTTAAATCCAATCTCAGTCTATTGGTCTCTTCCCACAAGCCTACCTTGTGTTTAAAGCAATCACGGCCATGTTCACAGCTGCAATATTTTAAAGTAGTCACTATCCCTTGAGAACACAAAAAGATCTTATTGTTATGAATTCAAAACTATTGAGGATAAAAACTATTGAATTTGTGAAACAACCATTTCTAATTAAACACACCCGCGCATGCACATACACACACTGAAAGCCGAGTAGAGCTTTTCAACTTAGCCTATTTCAGGCTCACATTTAACCCCAGCTCACCAACAGGCCACCCTTCTTGCATTCATTCACTTGCCAGCCCCTTTCTGCGCACTCACTCTCCACCACTGAAAAGTAACTTGCAATATCCTAGGTCTCTGGGCAGCGACACCCCGTTAATTCATCGGACCCGCCCTACTCCCAGCTCCAGGCAGGACTTGGGGGGGGTGGTCCACTGTCACCAGTTGGCACTGCCTCCTGGAGTCCTCGCCCAGCCTCCACCCGCCCGCTTGGAGCAGCATCCTGCCCTGGGAAACACTCTTGAGTTGCACTGTCTTTGCTGCTTTGTAATCTTTACAAGTAAAAATGCTTGTAAGATGGATTCCCCACCCCACCCACCTGCCCGAGTCTGCACAACCACACTCAATCGGGTCCTCTCCAAGGCACCCATGCTGCGCCAACAGCTGGGAGGCGTGAACAATCAGCTTCTCTCTCTCTCTCTAACTCGCTTATACACACCCTCGCCCCCAACCGGGAAGTTTTGAACTAGCCCGGGGGCCAATTCCGCGATTCCCCGGGCAACTCCGGCTCGGGCGGCAGGGGAGGGCCCCGCGCGCGTCCCCGACCGCGCCCCTCGCGTCGCCTGGCGGGCAGTTACCTCCTTCCTCCTGCTCGGCGCCCCGGGTCGGGTGATGAGGGCCGTTTCCTCGCACACCACGGCCACGTCCTCCACGAACACGCAGTCCGGGAGGCTCTCGTCGGCCGGCAGCGTCACCACCTGCAGCCCCAGTTTACTACCCAACACGTCCACGTAGAGCTGATGCTGCCGCTCGGCGCGGGCGAAATCCACCTCATCGCCCTTGGCGCTCCTCAGCGCGTGCTGGCAGAGGGACTCGGGCAGCGCCCGAACCACGGCGTGGGTGGCTCGGCCGAAGGCGGCGGGATGGCCGAGCGAGGCCATGGCTCTGGGCAGCGGCGCGGCGGCGGCTAGTGGCGGCAGCAGGTCCTCGCGCTGGCAGTGCGCGCCGAGCCTGCGAGCGCCCGGCGGCTCCCCTTGGCAGCCGGTGAACGTGGTGCGAAAGGAGCCCGCTCGCGCCCGGAGCCCTGCCCGCGCGACTGAGCATGCCCAGAGCCCCGGGCGCCGGCCCGCGCGCAGCCCGCGCGCCCACCCGGCACTCCGGGGTTTTGCTGCAGCCGAGGGGGAGTGGTAGGGCCGAGCACCGCACGGAGAGTGGGGCTCGGGGAGGCAGCTGGAAGCACTAAGCGTGAGAGGTGGGCGCAGGTGCGGGGACCTGTTCTGCGAACAGTCACCGAAACGGACCTGACGCTGCCTGTATTTCGGCGCAGGTGCACACCTTACATCTGCTCCTGGGTGAACTCGGAGATGGCAGCTGGAGGGCTTCTTGGTGGCCAGGCGGCAAACGACGGAATTATTCTTCTGTGGATAAATCCTTTGACCGCTCTCCCTACTCTCTCGTTCTTAGGTTGCCCGGCATGAGATACCCCCCCCCCCCCCGACCCCAGTTCTTAAGGTGAGACTGTCTTCTCACTCAAGTCCATATTACCGTGACTTTCTTTGCAAATGGCCCCTTGCCCCACGTGAGACCCAAGACTGAAAAAAAAAAGGTCTTTGAGAAAGAGTACAAGAAACACCTACAAAGAGAAAAAAAAAAAGAGACATAGAAACTCAACAGTATTTCAAGGACAATCACATCTCACAAACAATGCAATTCCGGCATATTTGTCTGCAGGGCCCACAGAGGAAGGGAGGCAAAGACCAAACGTGCTTTCCTCACAATAGACATGTGCTCACCTTGTGCGGTAATGGCCGTGTAGCATCACAGTTCCTTATCATTGAGTGCGAGGGTTTCCGACCTCCTCCCTGACCTTCTTCTCACACCTGTACATTTCTGTGGAATTCCCGTAGTGTCTGTTGAACATTGCTTTTACTATACCCCTCAGGGAGGGCCTTTCCCTTCTTAATGGTACTACACTTATATTTTTCCCTTCCTATGTGTCGCAGATTAAATAACCCATGAGTTCTGGGGTTTTCTATTTTTGTTTTCGGCGGGGTGGGGGGTATCCACTTTAAAAACAAGGTTGTAGCTACAAAATAATCTCAGGCAATAATTTTCCCTCACATTCTGTAGAACATTTCTAATTTAAAGATCAATTAGATCATAGAACATTAGATTTCAATGGGAACCCAGGAACGCTCTCATCTACCTTCCTACTCAGTGTTCTTCAATTACAGTGAAAACATCCATGGCAGTCATTGGATCGTTACTTGAACATTTTAAACCTCACTTACTTAGAAAGCGTATGCCACTTTTGAAGAGCAATGTGGTTAAAAACTTCTTTATTTTGGGCTTATGTCCCACTGGTTCGAGTTCTGCCTCCCGTAATTCCCTAACACGCTAGTTCACCAGACAGCATTCACAGGTCTGAAGACAGTTCTGATACCCTGCCTACCATGCTCCTCCCACCCACCGTCCTGGCACCTTCCAGGCCTTGAGCTGGTACCTGCAAAAAGTAACTAAAGATTTGGTTTCTAAGTCCCTTCAACATTCTCCTAATCTTCCTGTTGACACCCACCAGTAATCCTTTTAAATCATGGTATCCTGAAAAGAAACAATTCTCCCTGTGTGGTCTGACGCCACACAGACTAGAGCAGAAGCTTTGTTCCAGATGCTAGGCTTCTAATAACATGGACTAATATTGTATTTGTGTTTTTGGTGTTCTGGTGTCAAGGATCAGGTCACAACCTTCTTACCAGAACCCTGATCCTCGTTTTTGGGAAATAAGGGTTTCTGAGATCTATCTGAGGATGGTGGAACAGTTGTGCCTGAGCCCAGAGGAGATGTGATCTGCTTTCTCTCCCTTCTCCGAAGGGTAAACTTAAATTTACCCAGGTGAAGTGGCATTTCTCACCTTTAGAAATTAGGGGTCTTACGTGAAGGACAGCCCTGACCCTGACACTGGGAAATGAGACCAAAAGGAAAAGAACAAACCTTTTTACTAGGTTCTACTTCTGAAGCAAACCTTCAGAGGACCCAGGCTGCCCCACTGACACCAGCTTAGTGCCAGAAATCACCGAACGGTATCATCAGACAGCGAGTTCCAACCAATGCTACCAGTGGAAGGTAACGCATGTGCTGAGCTTGCCCAGGTTAAAATATAGAACTTTGTTTACTCCTTTACCCCAAACTGAGGCTCCATCCACCTCCAGTTGGTCTCTACCTAGGAACTTTAATTCATGCCTATACCTTGTTAGAGCCTTAATGCTTTCCCTGACACCCAGTGCCTGGAGCCTAACTATGAACAGAGTCCTGTATACCACTTTGGGCTCATGTCAGCCTTGCAGCCAATTAAAACCTGCAAATTTTTCTCTAAACATTGACGTTGACCGTATTAAATTGGGCTGCTGGTTTTAAAAGTCTTAATTTGTACTTATCTCTATTAAATGTTATCTGGTTCATTCCAACTTGCCTAGTTTCGATTCTGTCATCTTGTGCATTATTTATTACCTCTCGCTTTGTGTCATCTGAAATTTGATAAGCATGCCTTCTGTCTCCTCCAAGCAGTTGTCAAAAAGTGTTAGAATGTGTATATTGGGGAAGAGAATGATAAAAATGCCAACTGCAGTAAATTATGGTTTACATGCCTTCCTGCTTGAGCAATGAAGTACTGTTTTTAGGAAAATAGATTTTATTGAGTCTAATATACTTATAAATTCATTTTCCCCACAAATACTTATTGAAAATTCCCAAGGCATAATATGCACTTCTGAGTCACATAAAAAGCCTAAAAACATGATCCTTGACCTTGAAGAGCTCACAATCTCACTGGAAAAACAAGACATCCAAAATTGGAGATATGATAAGGTACATAAGAGGTAGAGGCAGCAAAATGCTGCAGGAAGTTGAGGGAAAGAGATATCACTGTGGCTAAAGGGAATGGAAGAAAGATGCTTAAAGGCGATTGGACTATATTTAGGCATTGAATAATTTTTAGGATGTGAACAATAGAGAATTCTAATGAAAAGTGTGTGCTAAAGCCAGACATGTGCTCAAAGAACAATAGATAGATCAGTTCAATTTATATATGTATCAGTTAAGGTAACTCTAGCTGCTATAACAAAACTCCAACACATACAATGGCACAAAGTTGATAGAAGGGTATCTCTTGTTCACTTGAAGTCTAACACGCATGTTCCCGATTGGTCCCTGACTCCTCTCTAAGCAGCATTCAGGGGAGGTCTGGAAAGTATAGTCTCTCTGAGTCCAGAAGGAAGGTGAAATAGGTTGGGATAGTAGCTAGCTGGTTTCTTCCCCAGAGTACCATGGGGGAAATGGGAAGTAAAGGTAGACAAGTGGGCTAAGCTTTAATCACTTGAGCATTGGAGAGAAATATGGTATGGAGAAAGAATGTAGCTTCTGGAACCAGACTTTGTGGGCAGAAGCTTAGCTGTCCTATTTTTGTATGGTCTTAGACATGTTACTTAAAAGCTCTTTGCCTCATTTTCATCTTCATCTGTAAAATGGGAAACAATGAGCCCATTATCATATGGTTATCATAAAGGCTAAATCAATAATTCTAAGTGCTCAGAGAAGTGCTTATAATAGTACCTAGCACCTAGTAGGTACTCAGTGAGTATCATCCTTTGACAGGTTTGAATAGAAGGCTTTAAATATGGTTTCCTACCAAAGGCCAAACCACATATGCACATTTATTGAATTATCAGAATCATACATGGATCTTTCAAGAGAACCCATAGTCTTCCTAGGTTGACAGACAAAATCTCACCCATATATTTATCATAGATTCAATAAATAGGATGGGAGGGTGATCTGGCTGTGACATTTGTCACCCTGTTGATCATCAGGGTTGAGTTGGCTGATTTGGCTGGCTAGGTGTGTGTCCCCTTCCTCACCGATGCAGGTGCATCCCTCCCAAAGATGCGCCCTCTTAACAACTAGAGGAGAGGACCGGTCTTCAGTCATGGGGATACAAGTATCTGTGATCCCCTGCTAGAACCTCCAAACAAGCTCTCGATAAATATTTATTGAGCCCTTACTATATACAAGGTACTGTGCTATGTAGGCACTGCATGTAATTATAAATAATAATATGGGGCTTATGGTCAAATTGCTCCTTTTGCTCTTCCACACATTTCAAAACCTTTGTGATTAATTCCCTGTTTAAATCCCCTGTCTTTGAAATACCTAGAGCTGTTCTATTTTCCTGGCTGAACACTGACTGATAGGCATTTTTTTTTCATTGATAATATTGCTGGTACCTGCCTTTGAAGTCAATTTTAGATAACAATTATTTCAGGATTTAACAGACATTCTTGCCTTATTGCTTTCTTATTCCACTCTAGTAAATACAAGATTTACTTTTATTGGCGAGGGGCGTTTGCGGTGGGAATCCTGAAAGAGACTAAGGGCTCAAGGATGTACTCATTCATCCCAAGTGTCAGAAGTACTGGATCAAGTAAGCACAATGAGTCTGCAATCTGACACTAAGTCCTAAGTGTCCCCACATGAAAACCATTACATTTGACACATAAACCTTTACTATGACAGAAACCCATTGCTACAGAGTTCCTTTGATATCTGAAGAATGAGTGATGTTTGGTTGAATGGGCAAGCATTGGAATACAAGACTAGGATTTGGTTGGTTTCATGGTAGCCAGGGCTCTGGTTCCTAAAGTCAAGTTATATAGCCTCCTAACCTTGGTTTCTTCAACTTCCATCTGGGAATTCATTCATTAAACAAATAATCACTAAGCATCTACAATCTGCATGGTAGAGGAATATTTAAAAGCAGTGACTAAGGCATCATGTGCCTGACTTTGACTCCTGGCCTTCCTTCATCCTAGCTGTGTAAACTTGGTGTGCCCCAGGCTCATGATCTCCCATTTCTGTCTTGCTGTAAGCCCTGGAGGACAGACCTTCATGAACTGTATCACCTAGGATCCCATCATTGTTGGCTTTGGTCAGTGGGAGATACTTACAGGGGATTAGAGGGCAAGAGGAGAGAAAGGTCAACGTATTAATTCCTCTCACTCCCTTCCTGCTCTTTCATGGTACCGG